GAACTAGAGATTCTCCTCTCTCAGCCTCCAGAGCCACTGGGATTACAGGCATGAGCATCTCGCCTGGCTGAGATTCTTAGTCTTTATGGGATTGATTAGAAGGCCAAAATCATACATTAAAACAAGTTATTATTTTGAAATTACTAATTTTTTACCTTTGAGTTAATAGTTAGAATCCACTCTTCTATGAAATTTTGATTATAAAGATAAATTACCACAGTCACAATTTACTTTCTTTTTCCCCAACAAATATAGCAAAGAGCTTAAAATCCTATGAAACTCAGTAAAGCTCTTTTAATTCACCCCTCCCAGTGATCTTAAAGAATGCACATGGTTTTCTTCAACTCTGTTTAATTTTGACAACTGAAAATCACATAATTGGTTTTAGTTAAATATGAGCATGATATTTTCTGTAACTTTACTCAATCTTTTAGGTAAGAGCCTAATGGGTGAATTACTTATTTCTACAGTATAAGAGACAGGTTAGGGGTCAGACAGGAGCTGGCCCAGGACTTTAGCCATGAAATAACTTTGTTGGAAAGAAAGTGCTTTGGCAAATTGTCAGTCTCTCAGTATCTCGTATCCTCAGATTGGAATGGGATGACAATGTCCACCTCACAGGGTGGTGGTGACAATGAAATGAGATAATTCTCCAACAGCCATTATACCAATGTTTTGCTCATTATGAATACTCAGTGAATATTATCTATTCTTGAAATTTTATTTGCAAATCTAATTGTTTTTATTTGCCCACATTTATCGGTAGAATGTTTTTATAATATTCACTATATTACAGAAAACAGGTAGTTTACTTTTTTACTTTTAATATCTTTATATTAAAATTTTCTGTACCACTTTTTATCATGTGGCATCTCCTATGTGGTTTTGATTATTTTTTAAAAGGTAAATTTGTATAGAAATAAGCAGTTCTCATATGAAAAAATTGATGAGTTGTGACAGATCTATGTACTTCAGTGACCCACATCTCTATCAAGATAGAGTATTTTCATAATCACAGAAATTTCTCTTTCTCATGCTCCCCTCTTTGCTGGTCATTCTTTTCTGCTATCCCCCCAACACGATTCCTTTTGATTCCTTTTTTTCTTTTGCTATTGATTAGTTTTATCAGTTCTAAAACTTCAGCTAAATAGCAAGTCTATGTTTAGTTGTAAGGGGAACCACTGAAACAAAACTTTTCAGTTTTATACTCCTATTAACAATGTTTGTAAATTCAAAAAATATTTCCACATACTGATGCTATATGATATTGTCAATACTTCTTTAAAAACTTATATATGGTCCTATTTTGTTGTAATATTTATTGGTATTTACTTAAAGACTGATGGTGTCCATCACTTTTCAAATGTTTATTGGCCACTTGTGCATCTTCTTTGTGAGTGGTGTCTATTTAGTTATTTTTAGACTTTATAATTTTGTTATTATTCATTTGTTTCAGTTTTTGTTATTTTGTTATTGATTTGTTTCTGTATACATATATTCTGGATAGAAGACATTTTCTCAGATATATTTTGTGAATATTTTATAACTTGCCTTTGATAAGCAGAATTTTGTTTTAATTTTGCTGACATATAGTTTAAAAAACTTTTATAGTTGTAGTTCTTCTGTGCCCTGCTTATGAAATCTTTGCTTACTCTAGGGTTATAAGGATTTTCCAGGTTTTATCCTAGATGCTTTAGAATTTTAGCTTTTATTTTTAGGCAGATCATCCAACTTGAGATAGTTTTTGTGCATCTTGTGGGGTAAAACTGATGTTCAGTTTTTTCTATATAGCTATGAAGTTGTTATAGCACCATTGCCTTTCTTTACTGATTCACATGTGTTTCTCATAAAAGTCAAAGGCTATCTAAAGGTTAATTGTAGCAGATTGTATTTTATATAGATATCCACAACAATATCTTAAAGGTCACTGCTCTTCGCATATATGACTTGAAAACTACAGGCTCCTCTTGAACTCTAATGTTAATTTCAATCAATAGAGTAATCCTGGAAGAAATGCCACACAGCTTCTGAAGGTAGCTCTGAAAACTCAACCTACAGCTCCCTTGTTGTTTGTTGAAACAAATGCACTTGAAGTCCTGGGCTGTTTTAAAGGAAGTTCAAACTGCCCAAGTAGAGATAATCCTTCCAAGAAATCCTGAGGTTACTTGAAGAATGAGATGCAACTAACCAGGCGATTACAGCCCCATTTCCAACCATCATCCCACTACACCTACATTTGAGAGTACACAGCAGAACACCCAGTTGAGCCCTTCTCAAAGACTTGACCTACAGAAATGGGAATTAATAATAATTGTTTTTTAAAGCACTGAATTCTATGATGGTTTGTTATACATTAATAGATATCCAAATTTTATTTTCATTTTAAGAATGGGGCACTAACATAACAGAAACCTAAGATATGTGGTTTTGAAGATTCCTTTTACCCAACAGGACCTCTAAGAATCTTAAAAATACTGTCACAATAGAGTAATGAAGAGAGTACAAGGAACAGAAGAGCATTTCTCAAAGAGTTTTGTAGTTATGATTTTGATTCAAGAGCATATTATAAATGGATGTATAAGATGTCCATAAGAGTTCTTTACACTGGATGAGCTCAATTTATCTCTGGTTATACTAAATTTTGTTCTGCAATCTAAAATCTTAAATGTGTGCAGTCAATTTTAAATTTCAGAAATGTTTTTCATCCCTATTATTTCCATTTAGTTTCTTTTTTTCCTAGTAGTTTTAGTTCTCTGCTGAGATTCCATGTTAACTCGTTTTGAAACATTTTCCTTTAAGTTCTTGAAAATATAACAGCCATTTTAAAGTCCTTCTCTGCTAATGTAAAATTCGTATCATCTCAAGTGACCTTCCATTACCTTTCCTTATTATTAAATTTTCTTGTTTCTTTGTATGTCTAGTATGTTTTAATTGTACCTGAACATGGTAGACATTAAATTGTTGGGGATCTAGTTGTTTTGAAGACATTTAATTTAATGGCAACTCAATATGATCTTTTTGAGGCTTATTTTTAAATATTTTGTTTTAAGGCTGGCTTAGTATATCCTTTACTTTGAGAAAGAATGTCTCAGTTCTTAAAATGTGACCTTTCAGCAGCCATCTGAGTGTCAATGTGTTTGGTGAGGTCTTCTTGTTCTAGTTGGTCATAGATTCTGTATTCCAGCACTCTTAGACCTTTAATATCTTACATTAGCTCACTAATACTCTGTTTGCCCTAAATCTCTGAGTCTCACCTTTAGGTGGGTAATTCCTGCTACCTATTGTTCAATATCTAAAACTGGTTGCTTCATGTAATTTGTTCAGTTGTGTAATTGCTCATGGCAGAAGATATAATGCATTACTAGTTACTCTATCATGCTCAAAATCTTTGATCTTGTTTTTTATTTGTAGTCTGTATCTTACCATGACTGTTAACAAAGAGAAAATAATTTTAGGGGAATGAATTGAATACATCTATGAATAATAAATGGATAATACTCAGGTGTATCTTTCAACTACTGATAAAACAAAATATTAATAAATTATATTTCATAATGAGATCAATGTTTTTAGATAAAAATCTCATCCTAAATTGCCAATATACTCCTAATTTAAAAGAATTTTAAACATATAAGTCTAAAAACAAAAAAATAAAAATTGTTCAACTCTTTAATATAGGAGATGTAAATTACAAAGCAAATAGCAACATAGTAAATGTGATAGAATGTGCTTATTTCATTTTCTCTTATATTTGATATATAATTATCTTTTTATCATATATATTTGATTTGGACTGGAAAAATGTCATCACAAAGATCAGAAAACATTAAAATTATCAGCATAATTTTTACCAGAATTCAAAATAAAGAAGCTGGATTCTTCCTACATACCTTTGGTTACTTGAGGTATTAATGAAACTCAGTGCGTATCATAGAAAAGTAAGCCAAGGAAACAAAATCTATGGACATGAAACTTTGGAGAAAAGCTACATACAAATATACATATCCACACAATGACCAACTATCATACTTATAAATTATTTGTTTATGTCAAATGTTTAAAAACAATTAGCTGAGATTTCACTTGGTTTTTTATATCCTTATATTTTATGCCTATGTCACTGCTTTTTTAATTTCAAAATATGTATGAATGCTTGCGATCTTAAATTTATCACAGAGTATTAAAAATTTCCTGAAGAAATCTATTTTAAAAGTTTTGTATAATAGTTACATGAAATTGGTTAACATTTTCTATTTTTAGACGTTTTTTTAATGCAAAACTGATTACAACTTGTAGAACAAATGGGGCTAAAAAGTGTGCGAAAACTTTAGTATCCTTTTTCCTCACAAAATGAACAATTGGGCTTTGTGTATATTAATACTCTTATTAACTGAGCCAACACTATAAACATTTCATAGAAGTTGTTTTAGTCAGCTTTTTCACTGCTGTGATTTAGGGAAGAAAAGTGTATTTAAAGGCTCACGGTTTCAGAGGTCTTAGTCCACTGAAGGTAGTCTCCATTCTTCAGGGTTTGAGGTGAGGCTGAACATGGTGGAAGAGTGTGGCGGAAGGAAGCAGCTCACATGATGAACAGGAGAGAGAGAGAGAGAGAGAGAGAGAGAGAGAGAGAGAGAGAGAGAGAGAGAGGGGGAGGGGAGGGGAGGGGAGGGGAAGGGAGGAGAGAGACTCCACTCTCCAGATACGAAATAAATACTCCATAGCCAAGCCTCCAATGAACCACTTCCTCTAGCCACAACCCACCTGCACCCAGTTACCACTCAGTTAATGCCATCAGGGATTAATTCACTGATTAAGTTAAGGCTATAATGCAATAATTTCTCCTCCAAAACTTCTTGCATTGTCTAATACATGAGCTTTGGGGGACACCACATCTGAACCATAACAGAAGTCAATATGCATTTCTTAATAAAAGAAATACAATAATTACAGAGGGCATTCAGAAATATTAATGAAGAATGTAAAAATATTTACATATTTACCTTTGTAGCTTAGCTTGAGTCGTGGAATATTTTGTTTAGAAGTTCCAATGACTGGAAGAAATAGCACAGTCATACTTAGCATCATGAAAGCATGAAAAAGGTGAAAACTGTGGCTTCTCAACTTTGGTCGCTCATCTTTAGTGGCATCCATGATGAAAAACAATGCTCTTTTTCAGTGCTAGTGGACTCTAAAAGAAAAAAAAAATATGAGAGTTTTTCTTTTGCAGATTTTTTCTAGATATACTATATGATAATTTTCTAAATGTACATAGAATTTTTTTAAAAAACAATTTCTCTCTTCTCATTTGTTCTTAGTGAATTTTTCAAGAGAATATGAATCCAAAACTGTGTAATAAATTCAGAATTGTCTTTACTTCAATGTAGAAATGAATACACTACTAGAAATCAAATTATTTTAATAATCTCTACAAAAGTTATTTTTTAATTGTAAATATCTGAGTATTTTTTTTAACATAACTTGATTTCTTTGATCAGATGAAAACACTAGCAGACATCTACTTGTATTCCGTATCATCCCAAAAGGAAAGATTTTCAAACAAAAACAGACACAAGCTGTCAGGTCCTCCAGTACAGAGTGTAGGCCTAGAACATACCATCTATTAGTTTCTGTTTAGGACAGCCCTGAATAGAAAAATAAGTTATAAAGTGTAAAGGTTAATAAAAGAGAGGAGGTGGTTATTAACTACACTGCCATAAATAAATGACTTGGATATCTTTGTTAAAAATGTGAGAAAATTAAAAGACACGTTTCAAACTAAACCTGTTATTAAAAATTACAAATAATATTTATTGAAATATACATACCAGATATTTTTTAAAGTAGCTTACAGACTAAATGGCATAATGCTATTGACAGGCATAGAATAAGTAGTTATTTACCACATTTCACAGTTGAGAAAACTGACGCACAGAGCTAAATATTTGTTCCAAGTTCGAATGGCAAGTAAGACAATGGAAATATTTGATTAGGACTTTAGAACAAATATTAAACTTTTCTTAAGACCTATAAATCTGGTGTTTTCATTATGGTAGGGTCAATTGACCTTGAATTACTGATAGAATCTTCAACCTCTCTTCCTGCCTTAATGTACTGCTTTTCTTCCTAGGAAATAGCCCATGGGAAGGATCTTGCTATATTGAGTTCTAGGGAGGATTTTGCATATGGTACCTGCTTTAACTGTGGTCTGAATATTTTTTGTACCTTCCTTGCTGATAGCATTAGTCATAATAAATAGGTATTAGACTTTAAATAATTTTCTAAATATTTAATATTCAAAATAAGAATTTCATGAGTATTATTTTAAGACATCTCATAAAGGCTGAATTTTCATTAAGAGAAATTCTCCACTTTACTATAATGATTCAGAGACTTTGAACATCAAGGTTCCAGTTACATCTTACAAGTAAAAAAAAGATAAAATTTGAGGTGTACTAATTTGTGTTTATGAATGGCAAGCATTTAAGGATAGACAAATCTTACATTAAATTGCTTCATGAAATATTAAGCATGAGTGTTTTCCCCAATTATTTTTATTATTTTCAATGGTATCTATGAAAGTATCAAATTATTTTGTAACATAATTATTTAATTCTTCCTATAGATTTCTGCATACAGATAGTTCATTTTAATATTAATTTATAATATTTTATTAAAATATTAAATATAAAATACTAAAATAAAAATATTTTATTCACATTTACTAGAGATTTCTTGAAGGTTTTACCCAATTAGTTGTAATTTGAGAGACAACAAGAATTTCCTTCCAATCAAAAAGATCTATACACAGCCGTCCTTTATGAATATTTTAGTTTTAAAACTTGAATTATATGCATTTTAATATAATACATGAACAAAATCCTTAAATAACACATTTGAAACATTTTTTAAAAGTAGTAGGAAAACATGTTTAATCTATTGCCACAAAAACGGGCACTTTAGTTGATCTATAATTGATCTTTTTCCTATAGAAAAAAGTTATCAGATTAGACTTGAATATTGTTTTGAATTACTCAATGTCTTAAGAAATGTATCCTGAAAACTTTTGTTTGACTTGACATCACTAAAAGTAGATGTATTCCTTGACTTATAGATTCTTCTTAAAAATTTGCTGCTTTTGGACAATTGCCATCACAAATGTTATACATTTGCATCTTAACATATATACATTTACATCACTGGTCATGATATTTGAATATACATACATGTATGGTTGTATATATTATACAATTCTTATCAGTCATTAACACCATAAGTAATCCTCCACTATTTATTAAGGTTAAAAAAAGAGATAAGGATTGTTACTGAGGGAATAATTAATTATATAGAAATAACTACAGTATGATAAAATAATTCTAAAATTGAGACATTTATGAGACACTCTGAAAGAGAACTTAAAAGAGTATTACACAGATTTAACTAAGATGAGAATATTTCATGGAAGACAGAGAAAACCAGAAAGAGAGTTCCAGAAACAGTGATACGTGGCTAAGGGTTCTGAAAAGGATAGGCAGGCAGCATCATGGACTTGGTGAAAGGCTATAAGGAGAAGGAAGGGAGAGGAAAGCACAATCCAGTGGGGGGTGGGAGAAAGAGGACACCAAAGAGCAACTTAAGCTAACTCTTGAATTTGCCTCATGCCTCTTTGGATACCCAAAATATTATGACTCAAAACAACACATTACTTTTTACTGCCATCGCTATTTGATCATGTGTGCTGGTTCCACATTCATCAGGGTTTCTCTAATCTTATTTTCCTGTTCCTTTCACTTTTACCTATTTCATCATGTTAACAGAACACTGATGTCGGACTGCAGCAGACCCCCAGCTTTGACATACAAGCATGCATTCTCCTCCCCACCCATACTCTCTGAAAACAGTGAAAGTTAAATTGAATCCCGAGACTGAGTATATTCAATTTCTCATTAGATAGTTTTTCTGATCATTGGACCTGCAAAATATATAACTTTTGTTCTATGATTTCTAACAATGTATATGTGAAGACATTTATGTGCATAAGCAAAAAAAGAGAACTTTCCATATGTGCATTTTATTAGCAATAATGACCTCAGTACAGGACATTTCCTGGAAATTAATGATTAGTTTGGGTTAATGGCCCTTTGCTACATATTGAGATATCTACTCCTCCAACTAGTCATTAATCGCAAAGACATGCCCTGTGCCTCTAACATTGTAAGTTAAAAAGATTGATGTTTTGGTTTGCAATGAACAGTAGTCTTACTGTCCACTATAACCCAACTTATTAATATTGTTAAATAAGTGAAAAATCAAAGCACTGGTTTCTTCACTAGTCTGACATTCTGATAAGTGCCTGCACATGTGGAAACACATATGAAGAGGAGGGAACAAAACTAAGCAAAAATCTTGAAAGTACAATAACTTTTTTAAAAACTTTGAATATTTTTCTGCTATAAAACAGTCACTTTCTACAATTTGCTCCCCCTGATTCTTTGTTTTTCTTCCCAACAATCCTTTGAATCCTATAGTTAATCTTTTAATTGAGATAATTTATGTGTTAAATGTCTTGCCAACAACCTTTGTACTAATGTATTGATATTTTGCTATCTTTCTCTCTCTCTCTCTCTCTCTCTCTCTCTCTCTCTCTCTCTGTGTGTGTGTGTGTGTGTGCATGCACATGTGTTCTGTGTGTACATACAGGAGCATGCATCCTACATCTGGGAAGAATTATGAAGAGAAGTAGGTGTGATTTACCCAAAGTGGGTAGATTTAGGGAATTGCATAGGTTATACTGAATGCTACTGTCTGTAACAAGCTCGACCTGGAGCCAATTAACTGCATATAATCTATTCCAGATGTTCACTGGGACAAACAGCACTCTTGGGGATCTTCAGATGTGGAGCCAATAGGGAGTGTTCTGATTATGAGAGTTTTACACACTGTTCCACTAAATCAGAACTCCAAATGCACAATCTAACACTCAGGAAGACCTTGCGCCATTTCCCTAAGGAGCAGAAAGAGAAAAGAACTTATTACATGAATAATAACTCACCAAAAAATTTATTTGAGGAGCAAGAGATATAAAATTTTATATGTGAACTTCATTGATGTACTTAATTTATTTCTATTGATTTATTCCAAAAGTCGGTAGGACAAGATGATGTACTATTCATGTGGAAAAACAGCTTCTATCCTTGGGACAATAATTAAAATATATATTTCTTCACACGTGAAAACCTGGAATTCTTAGATTTGGGATTTATTCTCAGGTGAGTGTGTGTGTGTGTGTGTGTGTGTGTGTACACTAAGGAAGGAATCATCACACTTTGAATTTTATAAAGGGCTATTTGTTCTTCATACCTAAGTGGTGCATGTAAGGTCACTTAAGTTTTCTGCCCAACTCAAAAGACATAAGGTAATATGACTACTTGCAAATTAAAAGCAATATCTGTATAAACTCCCTTTGGCCAAATTGCAGCTCATAATTTGGAGCTTTTGTTTGGTTAGATGGTTTTCCTGTACAGTACACAAGACTGATCAATTATTGGCACCATTACTTTATGGCATGGTTGTTGATGACAAAACAAACAGCAATTATAGAAGAAACTTGAGAGCCAAAGAGGCAATAGACACAAACAAATGGGAAAGTTTATGGTTGCAGAGGGCTATTATACATCCAATTAGTTGCGTGCAATAATATCAAAGCAGGAAGCCAGTGGTATGCCAAAAGAACCACTGGGATGGAGCTGGGAACACCAGAACTCTCATTCAAATTATCTTTATCTTATCCTTTCTAAATTTTTTTTATTTTCTAATATATCCTCCTACTTTTGTATAGTCAGTGGTATTCAATCATTGCTTGAGTATATATTGCTAAGAGTAATAAGTAGAATTTACAAGGCAGTAAACTTTTTGTTGAAGTATTTAATTGTCTATTAATAGATTTCATTGTCTCCAAAGTGTCATGACTTCCCCTCAGTTGATGTATTCCAGTAGAGTCTGGAAGACCATATGAGTCTTTCAAAGATCATGAAGAGGAGACTTACAAATGTTAATCTACTTGCTAACATCCTTATGATAACAGTCAGTGACATTACCCCACACTCCAAACTAAGTATGAACATCATCAGTTGTGGAGCTGAGCTCAACTATTTATCAGTAAAGATAAATCACAGTAGTTACATCCTATTA